ATCCACACCAACCCATATCCACACCTACCCACACCCACACCCTCGTAGAATTGATGAAACATAAATTATTCTTCACTGTTCAGTGTAACTCATAGCACATAACTTAATTCTCAGATAAGTCTATGTTTAGCAAAGTATTTCTCGTTTATGAATGTAATATGATTGAAAATATACGGTACACATGAGACTAGTATGTTCTTCAACGATGATATTAATGACCGAAATAAATAACAATCATTATCTTTTTCAAGCAATATATACTCATTCTACTAATGTCTCACGCGATTAGTTATTCAAGCGAGAAACTTATCCCATGTTATTTTTAATTTTTAGGAGAAGTTTATTGCTATGAAGATAGATCATTATGTATTTGAAATAAATTATAAAATGTATAAGAGTGAAAAATAAGTAAGAGAATGAGAAAGGATGCATATTACTAAAGAACAGAAAAAATCGTTAGCGTGACGCATTTGTATTGCGTAGTCTATCCACGTTGTGGAAGAAAACATACTTCCTTTTTACACATAAACACACTGAAGTTGGAAAGAAACCTTCTTTTTAATGATATGTGTCATATAGCCAACTAATACGTATATTTAAACATCATCACTCATTTTATTACTCTCATTTGAATAGGTAAGTAAAGTTACGTGAAGAGACGAGATTCATTACTTCCTTCGTGTTCGCTTACTTATTCTCATGTGAGCAAGAATCGAATCTTTTTTCTTTTGCAACTCGAATTCTCCTCATTCCGACTTCGTTGGCAAGTCGTATCCAGTATATTTAAGTAATTTTCTAAGATGCTTGAGTATCAAATTTTTATACTCCAAAACTTGTTCTTCTTAATTTTTCTTTGCCAAACACATAGCCTGGGAGAAAAATATTTTCTGTCGTTTTCCAGACTATGCCATAATTATAAATTTACGTTTTTTGAAAAGCTGATTAAATTTTGTTAGAGTACTCTCAAAGTATCTAAACATTTTTTCTAATATTTGACGTAATCATGATAGTGAAATATCTAAGAGAATGATTGAAGCTGCTTTCTTTTTTGGGGGAGGGGAGGGGGAGCATGTATTGCAAAGTGAACGATAACTCATCTCTTTTCTGAAAAGTTTGGAAAAATTGGTCCCTTGCAACTGAATTCTACCGGGTACTCCTCTAACATATTCCTCTCTTCTACCTATTTTTTTCCAAACAAAACTGATTAATCAGAAATATAACAGAATATCTCGAGTTAAAACTGCCTTGCAAATCAGTGGAATCTACCAATGCCGACGACATGGTGAATGACCTGAGGATCCACGTATTTTTGTTTTTGTACTGTGAAAATTTATAGTTCTTTCGATTACTTCAAGATTTAAAGTCCGTTGTTTTTTTTTTGACATTTCAATTGACCAACTAATTCACTGCTTTTAACGTCGATGACAACACGTTCATTTAGTTTAGAAAATTCATCTGAAATAATGGGCAGAACTAACAACAAAGAGGACATCACTCTGATTTGGTTCGACTCAAAAATGTATTCCAATGATCATGTAGAACAAATTAAGGAACAATTATGTCAAATCAATGATTATGTTGTATATCACATTGAACTCGAATCTTGCATCAATATTATTCAATCAATTCACAACGAAAAAATTTTCTTCATCTCTTCAATTTATGATATATTACAAATATTACCTCATATTACAACTCTATCTCAAATTGATAGTATATTTATTTTCAACTGGAAAAAAGTTGATAATAAACATTTAATCCTTCAACATTCAAAAATTATCGGTTACTATGATGAAATCAATTTATTATGTGTATCAATCAAAGAACAAATCGATTTTCTCAACCAAAATTTACAAACATTCAACTTTTTTGATCAAAATGAATATTTGACAAAAGATCTATCGAAAGAAACTGCTGATCTACTTTGGTTTCAATTATATCATGATATTCTGTTTAATTTAACATACGATGAACAAGCTAAAAAAGAAATGATCGATGCTTGTCGTTACTATTATCAAGATAATGCCAAAGAGTTGGAAGTGATTGAGAAATTTGAAAAAGAATATCGATCAAAAGAAGCTCTTCAATGGTATTGTAAAAAGCCGTTTCTTTACAAGATCATCAAAAAAGCACTAAGAACCAAAGATTTCGATCAACTGTACGTGTGTCGATATTTTATGAAAGATTTGATAGAAAATTTTATTAGAGAAAATCAAGAAATAGTTCAATCTAGTAGAGAAGTACTAATCGTCTATCGAGGAATGAAATTGACTAGTGATCAAATAGAGAAATTCAAAGAGAACGAAGGTAAATTGATATCAGTCAATGGATTTTTGATAACAAATATCCATCGTTCAACTGCATTGAACCAAGCAATGAAATTCCCGAAACAAACTGATTTCGTTTCTGTTCTCCTAGAAATTCAATGCAATCTAAAACATCTGAGCAATAGCGTCATTGTCGCTGAGCTCATTCAATTTAACGAATTTCCATGTGAAGAACAAAAAGAAATTCTCTTCAATTCCAATGTTACTTTTCGATTGAAGAGTGTACGAATGGAGAAAGGCATATGGTTGCTTGAAATGATTGTATCGGATGATGGTCAAATTATTAAAGAGAAATATATTAAAGATTCACGTCGTCAAATCGAAGATCTAAGTATCAGAATTCTCTTTGGACGATTGATGTGTGATATGGGTCAATGGAATCAATCACAACATTTCTTTCAACAGTTACTGAACAACTCCAATAGCTACAGTGAAGATATTGCAAAAGTTGAATATAGTCTCGGTGAAGTTCTTCAATGGAAAGGAGAATGGAGTGAAGCACGTAAATATTATGATTGTGCTTATGATCGGATGATCACTGTAAAACCAACACAAACCAAGGATATAGCTAATGTACTTTATAAAATTGGTGAGATTCTTTATCAAGAAGGAAAGTATGAAGAAGCTCGTGTTTATTATGAACGAGTATTTGCAATGACAAAAGAAAATTATTCTTCTGTTGAGATCGATAGGTCGTATTCATCAAATCAGAAACGCAGAAATGTGTTGAATCGTGTTCGTGCGTCGTTCCGATTGGTTTCATCGAATTCTAATAGATTATTTCAATCATATTCTTCATGGCTTCGAACTAGAGATTTTCGACAAATCTCTCATTGGTTTCATTCGAAACAAGCAGCCAACAGAATGGAGTTCAATGACGAGCACTTGGACAAAACTCAATTAGAAGAAATTTGTCGAAATGTACAAGAAACTGGTTGGTTACAATTAAGCAAGACTCATATTGATGGTTATGTGCCTATTGCTATGTGTCTTCTTAGCTTCGGCAAAATCCTCTCTCAGCAAGACAAGTATGATGAAGCACTTATCTTTTATAAACAAGCATTAACAATGCTCGAAGAATATTATCAATGTGTTCATATTGATATCGCTGTTATTTTCAGTTATATTGGTCAAATTCTAATATATCAAACGAAGTTCACGGAAGCACTCGATTTTTTTCAACGAGCAATGTCAATCTATGAAACATATTATCCAAATGGTCACGTATACATCGCCTCAATTCTCAACTACATCGGTTACATTATCTATCGAGAAGGTAAGCATGATGAAGCTTTGAAAATTTATGAACGAGCATTGGCAACACAACAAAAATATTATCCATCTGGTCATGTCGATATAGCTAATCATCTTTGTGGGATAGGACATGTTCACTATGGACGAGGAAAATATAACGAAGCTCTCATATTTTATGAAATAGTACTAGAAATTCAGCAGAAATATTTTTTTTCTGGTCATGACGCAATTATTGTTATCCTCAATAATTTTGGCTATGTCCTAAAGGAACAAGGAAAGTATGACATAGCTCTTGATTTTCATCGACAAGCACTAGCACTTCAGGAAAAATACTATCCATCTTACTATGCAACCATCGCTAACACTCTCAATTACATCTCTAATGTACTACTTTGTCTATCAAAATATGATCAAGCTTTATGTTATTGTCAACGAGCACTAAAAATGCAAGAGAGTTATTATCCTTCTGGTAATGCTTCAATAGCTTCAAGTCTCAACAACATTGCCATACTGTTCTGTATGCAAGGAAAGTACAATGAAGCTCTTGATTTTAATAGACGAGCACTAGCAACTGTTGAAAAGCACACC